CGGCCCCGCAGATGAACTGCACCCTGGACACAAGCCACCACCCTCCGCGGGGTCATGGCCTGACTAGCGGCTCCTCTTCCTCAGACCAGCTTTGCACCACAACCACTTAAATGTTGGTACCACCTTAGCCTCTGTCACTCGGTACGTGGTTGCCTGGAGGGCCTGGTGGGGGGGACCTGTTCACCTGGCTGTAGGTCAGAGCATACCTGGGCCGCAGGGCAGATGGGAGGACACTGAGGTGGCCCAGCTCGTTTCACGGAGGGGTGGTCGATCAGCTCTGAGAGAACCCAGGAGGGACCTGGAACTCGTCTTCAGGTTCAGAAGAGGGAGTGGGTGTGTCTTGAGGCCCTCTCGGGTCAGCCGGTGGAAGCTGTGGGGCGAGGAGTCACAGCTGGACCCGAGACCACGTGGACCACCCTGAGGAAGCCGCATGTCTGCCCCTGGAGGTGTCCCGTGGACATTCATGAGGACTCACACCCATGCTGCAGGGCGACCGGACCTCGTGGTCCCTCAGTTCCTGTCCAGCCCTGCGTTTCTGCAAGTTCCATGGGATGCCAGCCTCTGGATGTGACAGAGGTGAGGGCTTTGGGAAGCGTGTCTGCCCTGTCCTGAGTCTTGGTGTCTCTAAGCTGAGTGAGTGGAAGAAAGAGGGGACACTTAGGGAGCGTCAGGTTTCCAGATTTCAGTAACTTGACTGCTTCCTGTGTGAGCAAGACCAAGTCCTCGGCCTCCTGGGGTGGTTATTTATAGTCACTCCCCAGCAAAACAAAATGGTGTGTGTCATTAATTTCTAAAAATCTTTTTTTAAATGCTAAGACAGTTTGTTTCCGGATCCCCAGACTGTTGAAAGTGTGTTGAGTTGGCCACATTCAGTAACTCATGGCCCTGGTTACTGACCTGTGTCAGAATTGCCAAGTCGCTTTCATACGAAATTTATGGCACTGAAGATTTAGGGTCTGTGCATGAATTTTCCATTTGGTTTTGAAAGGAGAATCAATAAAGAAACTGGGTTTATCATCTTATTTATAACAGACTCCTTGACTGTTACACAGGACCTGACCCTAGACGGAATGGCCCCAGGATACGATCTTTATAGGTCTCCAAACTCTATAAATTTTCTGTAAAAATCTATATAAATTAAAGATCCCAGATTATTTGTCCAAAGAATTAGTGAACTGTGTGTTAGGAAGTTACTAAAAGATACAGAATTAGTAATCGGTGTGTTTTGGGAAATCGTATATTGTTTTTTGAAAATCAGATTAGTCTGTGAGTACGTAACACAAGACCAAGGAGAATAAAATCCTTTGTTTCTCCTGGTCTGTCAGCGATTAAAGCGCAGAAGACAGACGGCCTCTCCCCGAGCACAGATAGTCACCTCCCGTCTGCCTGGGGCCGTGCAGATCCGAAAGCGCTTCTTGGGCCATTTCCGTTGATGCTTCTGGAAATCTTCTGAGTGTGGGCGTCTTCGTAGACCCTGTGTTACAAATTGGATAGCAGAGGTTCAGAGGAATTCATTTGCTCAGGGTCTTGCAGATAATGTAACAGAGCCAACTTTCTAAGAGAAATCTGTTTCTCCTTCGCCTCCTGTGATTATTTCCCCTAATGTATGGAAAACTAGGCTGATTTGTTTATTTGAAAAAAAAACTGCTGCCTTTCATCGCAGGCAAAAAACAAATGATGCTTTGTGGGGAAAGAATCATAAAAAAATTTAGTAGCGTACCAAAGTTTAATAGATGAAAATAAATTCTAAGTATTTACATACTTACGAGAGTTATAGCCAAGTGCAAGCGTACCCTACAACTTCTTTGTGTTCTATGTAATACTGTGCACACTTACCCAGAGTTCAGATTAATTTTTTGGTTTTAAATTGCCCAGGCCCTTAAACCCCTTTGAGGGCTTGCTGATGTTTCTCTTCTTTCTCACAAAAGCGTCTAAAGGGGGAGGTTTCTACAGTGCCCTCGACACCGTTTGGCAGCTGTGTGCGGCCTTCAGGCTCTGGGGAGAGGACGCAGCAAACGCCTGTTTGCTCCGTGTGGTGACTCTCCAGCGACCCCTGAGCCACGGCTGTGACCTTAGCTCTGAACTGACAGCGGTCTCCTAAGACCTAAGCGGCCCGTCGCCTCTGCTCCCTGCCAGAACGTGGTGGCCCGCTGGTGGCCACCTGCCCTCTGTGGACACTGTTAATCGTGCACACAGGGTGGTGGCTGGGAGCTGTGCTGAGACAGTGTGCTGGAGCTCCCGACTGCCCAGTGCGGCCACACGTCTTAAGTCCGGGTCAGGGGAGCAAACTGCCAAAGGTGTGTGTGTGGGCAGGTGCTCTTATGCACGTGGTGGTGTCTTTCCTGCTCCTCTCCCGGTTTGCTTCCACCATCTCCACCCGCTCCCCTCCTGTGAGACAGCGGTGTGGGTGTCACTGGCAGAGAAGGGAGGTGTGAGCCAGCACGCTTACGCCTTACCCCACTGGGAGGGGTCCGTCCGGGCCCGGGAGGCGCTGGCCGCGTGGAAGCCCCCTCCTGCCTGTCTCCCTTAGGATACCTCGCACTTCTGGAGGTGGGCTGTTTGAAGGCAGTAAGGAGTTGGGTTGTATGTGTGTGCCTGTTTTTTTGATTCATTCTACTGATCTCTGTCTTTTAATTGATGTATTTAGGCCATTTACAGTTTTTAAAAACTTTTATTGAAGTGTGGTTGATTTACAACGGTAGTTTCAGGTGTACGGCAAAGTGATTCAATTCTATATGCATACATGTATATTTTAATTCCAAATTATTTTGCATTATGTGTTATTACAAGAAACTGAATATAGTTCCCTGTGCTACACAGTGTAGACCGTTTACACTGAAATGATTAGTGTGTTGGGGCTGAAGCAGGCTGTTTTATTACCTGCTTTCTGTTTCTTCTCTTTGTTTCTTGTTGCTCTGTCTCTTTCTTGCCTCCCTGTGGGTTACTTGAACATTCTGTAAAATTCCATCTTGATTTATTATGGTGTTTCCGAGCGTACTGCTTTGTATCATTTTCCTGGTGTTTGCTCCAGATACACTCCACGTCCGTAACTTACCGAGCCTGCTCTGAGGGGTGGCCAGAACCCTTCCATGTACGTCCTTTCCCTCCCCACTTCTTTTTTCTTGTATGTACATATATTTTTATTGAAGTCTAGTCAGTTTACAGTGCTGTGTCAGCTTCTGGTGCGCAGCACAGTGCTCCAGTCACGCATGAACATGCGTATGCTCGTGTTCACGTTCTTTTCCACCACAAGTCACTACAAGATGCTGATACGGCCCCTGCGCTGTGCGGTGTGAGCCTGTTGCCCTCCTCACTTTTAAAATATAGTTAAGTTTTTCTCTACATATGTTGACATGAGATGTGTTGTTTTCTATATGTGTATATATTTTTGTTTTGTTTTTGTTTTTCTTATTTTTGCTTAAAAAATAAAAATTTACCTCCTCACGTGGCCTGTCTGTGCAACGTGGGGGTTTCCCCCTCAACCGTCAGATGTGATTTAAGAACCGTAAGGAGGAAGCCCACTGTACTCTGATTTCTGCCCATCTCCTGTTCTCATTTCCTTTCTGAAGTTCCAGGCCTCCTTCTTTCTCTTCTTTTCTTTGTGTTTGGAACCCGTTCTCTCCCATTTTTTAAGGGCAGGTCTGCTGGTGGCAAATTCTCGGAGTTTTCCTTCTGAGGATGTCTTTCCCTTCGTTCCTCAAGGGTATTTTCACTAAATAAAGAATTCACAATTGGCAGCTTATCTCTTTCAGTATTTGAAAAGCATGGAGCCCCGCCCGTCTGGCCTGGGCGGTTTGGGGCAGGAAATCTGCCTTCACTGGAGCTGGTGGCCCTGTAGGTCCGGCCTCATTTCTGTCACTGCGTCACTGTTTGTTGTCTTTAGCTTCCCCCCGTCTACTGATGATGCATCAGGAACGGAGTTCTTTGGGGTCATTCTGTTTGGGATTTTCTTGGCTTCTTGAATCTGCGGTTGTGTCTTTCACCAAATTTGGGAAGTTTCCAGCCACGGTTTCGTCTAATACTTTTTCAGCCCCACTCTCCTCTTGTCCTGAGACATCATTGACATGACTTCGCTCATTTGCCGCAGTCCTGCGAGTTCCCGAGACTCTGTTCATTTTCTTATTTCTTTTTACTTATTTATTTTTTTTGAAAGGAAGACATTTATTTATTTTTTGTTATTTTATTTTTTGGGGTGGGGAGGGTAATTAGGTTTATTTATTATTACTGTTTTTTTAATGGAGGTACTGGGGATTGAACCCAAGACCTCGTGCATGCCAAGCATGCGCTTTACCACTGAGCTATACCCTCCCCTTCATTTTATTTTTTAGTTTGTTTCTCTCAGGTGTTCCAGTTGGGTATTTTCTGTTGTTCTGTTTTCAAATTCATTGGTTCTTTCTTCTATAATACTCATTCTGCTATTGAACCCATTCCCTGAGTTTTTAATTCAGGTGGTTTTAGTTTTTGTTACGTGATTCCCATGTGATTTCTTTTTGTATCTTTTTTTTTTGTATCTTATACGTCTTTTTTTCTTCTTTAGTTTCAGGAGTGTTTGTAGTTGCCCCCTGAAGTATTTGTGTGAAGGCTGCTTTAGACTCTGACAGACGATCCCAGCGTCGATCTGTCTTGGTGTCGGCAGCTACTGACTGTCTGTTTCCCCGCAAATGATGATTTCATGGTTCCTGGGAAGGTCTGGATCCGATTTAGCGACACGCCCCCTGCTCGGGCTCAGTGAGTAGACCTTGGCCTGCTTCCATGGGCTGTGGCTCTGTGACAGTTAGTGTCGGGCCCTCACAGTGACGCTCTGGTGTCCCTGGGGCTCCCGCTAACCCCCATGGCTTGGGGGGGCTGTTCTGGTGTGGAGGTGCTGATCGCACTTCCCACCCCGTGCCCAGGGCGGCCTGTGCGGCTGACCAGGGGTGTGGGGGGGTCACCTGCCTTCAGCCCTGTGTGCCTCTGAGTGGTGCTGCGCCCTGCTCTGGGGGGGCCTGGGGCCGGGGCCGCAGTGGGGCTGGGAGACGGCCTCTGGGGCTTGGATGCCTGGTATTGTGTTCCTTGTCTCCTGTTTCTGGTGTCAAGAGATAAGGAAGTTCAACCCCCAAACTTACAAATCCTGAAAACAAATGTGGGAAACATAGAGGGTCCTCCTTCTTTCTAACTGAAGTAATTTCAAAAGGGAAACCCAATTTTTAATGACAAAAAGAGTATGTGATGTCACCAGGAGTTAGTTGCCTTGGGACAAGTTAAGGAACGTTAGTGGAGCTCTGCGTGGAGCACTGACCGGGGGACGGGGGAGGCTCCTGCCGGAACGGGGCCTCCGTGTGGTTTCCGCCTCTGCCTTGGACACCTAGCCTCGGCCGCGGTCCTCGTCACGACTGATGCGCCCTCTCGTCCCGTGTGTCCTAGAATGGTCTCTGCTTTTAATCAGTGGAGTTGGCTTTGGTGGGTGGTCACTGAAGTCTGGGGGTTATGCACCATGTTGGGCCCTAGAAGGCCCCACACCAGGGGTCCTGACGTAACATCGTGGTGATGGTGACCCTGTGTGCCTCTGAGTGTTGCTGACCCCTTTCTCGAGCAGAGCTGGCTCATCTCCAGAGACGACCCCGGGTCCACAGGTGAGGACATGGGCCTGGCCCGTTCCCATCCTGGCTCCCCCTACCCCCACAGAGCTCACGCCTGGTCCCACGGGCCTGCCACCTGTCTGTGCGCCTCTCACTGCGCTTGTGTCTGGAGGAGACCCACCCTGCTTGGAGCTCATAGTTGGGCGGGGAGGACACATTCTACCTGGTATCCCCACAGCCGTGTTGCCCCAGGAGGCATCCTGGTGGTCAGAGATGAGCCAGGGCCTCAGGGCTGGTGCTAGCTCCCCTGGCGGGGGGGTGTTTGTGGGGTCCTCTTCCCCTTGCCAGCAGGGCCAGTGCATCCTGGGGCTTCAGACCCGTGTCCATTGCTAGTGATGTGAGAAGCGGCCTGCCCACCTGAGTGAGCCCCCCACAGAGCGGGTGGAGGGACCCAGACACGCGAGGGACACGGAGCATACGTGCCATGGCTCTGAATGCAAACAGCGGCCGGGAGCATCCTTATCACAGAACCAGTTTGCAGACACTGTCAAGACAGTAAGGTCCCACATGTATCGGCATCTTTGGATACCATCACCCCTTCGAATTAATGTCATCTCCCAGAACCTGGGTAGGCCTGATGGCTGATCCAGGGGAAGGAAGCAGACGCCAGCTGACATTAGCAGGCCCGGGCTTTGTCCCACACGCCAGCCATCAGCACCACGGCGATGTCCAGTCCTGACCAGTGATTTCCAGGCCTTCTCTCCTGAAACCCCAAAACCCACTTTTCATGTCTGTGGAAATATGTATGGGATGGCTAAGACCCAGCCCCTGATTTGGTTGGAAGGGCGGGCCATGTGGCCTCTCTCACCACGGGGCCTCTCCTGCTGACGGCATCTGCTCGAGGACAAGGGGAAGGGCCTGGAAATAGGAAACCGAGTCACTGCAGCTGACTCAACATTGCACACAGCTGTGCCTGGCACGTAGTAGATGCTGGAAGATTGTTTGTTAAATGCAGTAGATGAGCAGGGGGATGAAGTTTGCCCTGGGTCTACTTCAAAACAGAACAAACAGAACTTTTTCATGGTCTCAGCAGCAATCACAACCAGCAGGGTCAGCTGCCTGGGTTGTCAATAAAGTTTTATTGGGTGGGGGTGAGGGTGCAGAGGTGGGGGCTGGATGGGGGTCGGTGCAGAGGTGGGGGCTGGGTGGGGATGAGGGTGCAGAGGTGAGGGCTGGGTGGGTGCAGGGTGTGCAGAGGAAAAGGTCACAGACCACATCATGGTCTTAGCCAAACCCAGGCCAGCGCAGTCAGCTGAGCTGGTTGAAAGCAACCACACGGTTGTAATGGTCCGTCTTGTGGTTGGCACTAGACTCAGGAAAACAGTCACTATTATACAGTAGAATTCATTTTTATTCATGCTTTAAAAATATTTACTAAATGTTTATTGCACGAAATTACTTGTTTATCGATTGTTCTAAGTGGAAGCGTGAATGTCGCTTGCATTTGGGGTCCCATCAAAGGCTTGTTAAAGCTGGTATTTGTTCAAGTGTTTGGAGTCTGTGATGTTCCAGTAGCCACTGTTTCATCTGATTAAATTCAGAGAAGATGCATCTTACTGAGCAGTCTGTGATTTCTGCTAACTTCACACCACGTCACAGGAGCTCTGAGACATCAGAACGATGAGTCCTGGGAGAAGCCACGCTTGCCTGTAACAAAGTTGAAGGTGACCTGACCACCCCTTAAAATAACAGCTAACTTCTCATCGCGTGGGCGGGTCTTCCCTGGAGCCTCTGAGGAGGCCTGCCCGCTGCCGGGAGGCTCCTGCTCTCACACCTGCGAGGACTGTGCTCCCGGCAGCCCAGGAGGGAGGCAGCGAGCGTCTGGGGTGTGGGAGGGTCCGCAGAAGTCATGGGGCTGAGGTGCACGTGGTAACCAGTCCCGCAGGTGCCCGTGGACCAGGCTGCTCTTCTTGGGGCCCACATGGGTGTCCGGATGGCAGGGCCCCCGGGAGGCGGCACTGGCCTTGCCGCGAGGTGACAAGCAGGAGACGTCTGTCACGAGCCAGCCCCCCTGCTGGGCTCTGCATAGGCTGCAGGGTGACTTTATCCCCGTCAGGCTCCTCCGAAGGCTGTCCTAGGACTGTCCCGGGGAGGAAGCCCTGGCCCAGGTCGTGATGCCCTTTACCAAGTGTCTGCAGGTGGCCTGGGAACTCCCGAGGCGATGGGGGCTGGTGGCCAGGCGCTGGGTACACCAGAATGTTCTGGGCTACAGCCACTCAGCAGATCATGCCATCAGTCTGTAGATTCCTGATGTGAAAGATTGTTCTGTGCTGGAATGAAAGGAAACAAAAGAAGGCCGGATGGCAGGGACTCAGGAAAACTCACATGGTCAGAGAAGAGGACATTTTTTTATTTGCCTGGAAGCCTGCATTTGAGCTGAAAGGTTTTTATGTAACTGGTTTAGAATAGCTTATCTTGTTTAATGTGAAAATGGCTCTAGCTCCCCCCCCCCCCATTAATGGCTATTTTTTTCTAGATCAAGCCACTACGGTTTATATTTAGTTCTAGTTTTTTTTTGCAAAACATCTCCCCTCCCATCTCTGCCTCAAATTTTATTATACTTGGTAAGAGTTGAATCCTTGTCTTAACCCCCTGGGGCTGCTCTAACTCAGTCCTGCAGACTGAGCGGGGTATAAACAGCAGACCTTTATTTCCCACAGTCCTGGAGGCTGGATGTCCAAGGTCAAGGCACTTTCGGCGTCTGGTGAGCACCTGCCTCCCTGTTCAGAGAGACTCCTCAGATGGTGAGGGGCCAGGGAGCTCTTTCCAAAGGACACTCACCCCATCACGAGGCTCCGCTCATGCCCTGATCCCCTCCTGACACCATCCCCTGGGGGGTTAGGACTTCATCGTGTGGATTTGGGGGAGACACAAACATTTAGTCTACAGCAATGCATTATAAAGCAATAGGCACTATTTTAACCCCTCCCCTACTACTGTCATCATCTTGGCAAAAGTTGCCATGACGCGGCTGAGGGCTGTTCTGGAGATGGTTACTGTTCTTCACAGGAGCCCTGGGGGTGTCGGAGGAAGCGCGGGTTTGAGCCCCAGCCCTTCATGAGGCTCTGTGACCCTGGGGAGTCACTGTCTGTAGAGGAGGCATGACAGCAGCAGCTACTTGTCAGGATCGTTGTGGTGACTAGAGGGGCTGGCGGTGGGTTCACACAGAAGGCCCACCATGGAGAAGAGCCTCGCCCCTTTCATCACGGGCGCGGGGGCGTGAGCAGTAGCTAGATCACAGATGACAGCCATTCACTTCGGTGACAGGTCCTCAGCCAGGTGCACGTCAGGGTCACCTGAGCCCCCTGTGCAGGTCTGGGTCCCCGACCTCACCTGGAGCCAGGGTGTCCTGCCGCAGGCCAGCATCAGGAGTTTAAGCCGTCCCTGAGGGGGCTTGGCAGGTAGCCAGCACTGAACCTGTCGACCCGAGACCTCGTTCAGAGAGCAGGACCCCGCGTTGTCCCATGGGAGCCCGGGCAGGGCCCCTGGGCAGGTCTCCAGACAAGGGCACAGACAGCTCTGGAGGTGGCGGGGGCCATCTGAATCTGACCGTGCCCCTCACTGGCAGCGCGCCCTCGGCTGTGGGCGGGGGGCTGCGCCAAGCACCCCCTGTGGTAACAGCCAATCATACTGTCTCCACAAAAGTGCCGAAGAAGTTGCTGTTGAAGAACTTGGGTTTGCTGTTTGTGAAATGATAATAATACCGCGATACAAAAAGACACTCCCTGGCTGATCTGTTGTGTGGATCACACACGACACTGTGTCGAGGGGCCTGCTGCCCACCCAGTCCCCACGCTCCCCACGTGTCACCCCGTGCACATTGGAAGTACGCTGCCTACCGGATACGCACTCATGCTGGTTATTTTTAAAGCTATTGTCTTAACGGAGGTATGCATTTACATAAAACTATTTTTAAAATATGTCTCGTTTTGGTAATATTATTTTGATCTACATCATAATGCATTTAGCAAGTGGCCCTCTTTCCTAGATCCCTTTTGAAAGCACATAGGTTATAAATGATAAATATTCAGTGCCGAGCAGAACCTGATACAGAGAAGGCATTCAGGTATGTAATGAACTGTGTGCCGTTCACAGAAGCCAGCATCCCATTTTGCCTTGATGTGAATCCTAATTACTAAAAAATTGAATTCTTGACCTCTAAGTGTCTGTGCAGTCGTGCTGGGCATGACTGTGGTTCCTCTCAGAGCAGTCTCCCCGCCCCGAGCCGTCTCCACTGCCGGGGCGCTGGCGCTCAGGCTGGTGGGGGCCGTGCGCCTCAGTGCAGAGACCGGGTTTTAGGGCCACCAAGAGTCCTCATTGGTGCCGGAGCTGGGGGATCTCGGGATCTTGAGCCAAAGCCGGAGTTCAAGCCTGTTTCACGTCCTGATCAGAGAGCAGAGGGCTGGCCCCAGACTGTGGGGAGCTTCACCAGCCCCGGCCCCTCCCTCGCTCCCTGGCCTGGCCTGGAGCACCAGCAGAGACGGGCTTTCTCTGGGTCCGCCTTGCTTATTAGTTCAGGCAGGAACAGGGGCATGTCTAACCTGCTGACACACGTGGCCCAGGGGCCGTTAGCCTGGTCAGTTACAGAAGGACCCTGGGTGGTCTGACCCTTGTCCACCAGGCTGCCTCCGGTCACTGACGGGGACGTCTGCTCTGTGTCCTACGCGTCCTGCTGCTGCGCTTTGTCCTCTTTCCATCCCCTTCCCGGTGTCCTGTGTCACCTCCCCCCTCACTCTCCTCGGAAAGCCCTGGGGCGCCTAAAATTCAGAGCACAGGTCCAGAGCAAGAGCTGCTGTAAAGCCCGAGTCGGAAGGGATAACCTGCAGGAGACGCTCCTGCAGACGCGTCACCGGAGGTGGTTGCAGGGGCCGAGTCCCAGGGGAGGAGACATTCCCCTCGCTGTGTTCTCGGCTCCTGGGAGCTTCTGGCTGCAGATCGTAGCCCTCCTGCCCGATTGTGCACCATGCGTTAGTGGCAAAGCAGCATCTTCAATATACGGGTCATCATTTTGGGTCCTTCTGCGTTTAGAAAGGGTTTTGCATCTCTTACAGTCTTTGGACTGTTTTGCACGACGCGTCCTAAGTACCACTGGGCTCTGCCCTGGGTGTTTACGCGGAGTGTCTGCTCCCGCCCGCACCGTTCCAGGCCTGCGCGTGCAGAAGACGCCACACGTGAGTGTCAGGGTAGTTGCTCGCAGAGAAGAGTGTTATGAGGAGGAACTGAAGCAAGTGGAGGGCAGGGAAGGTGTGATGAGGAGGTGGTTTGCACGCCTGCTGGAGCGGGGGGTCAGAGCGTGTGCACTGTGCAGAGGTCCGTGAGAATCCCACTCCAGCAGGGGCTGCTGCGGGCCTGGCCCCGGCGGTGTTAGCGTGGTCGGCTGTGGACGGCAGGGAGGCCAGGCTGGTGGTGCCCGTGATTGGAGAGCAGCCAGGCTGGTGTGTGAGGCGGGAGGTTGGCGGGGCCTGGGTCCCAGAGAGCCCGCAGCCCTGGCTCTA